ATAGCTGCGATGTTTGGTTTCTAAATGAGAAATATAAAGATCACAAAATGCAGGCAATTTTCAATTTATCACTGTCAATATGTATGAATTAATATAGAACTTTTTAAAATTGACAATTAAACCTAATGAAGAGCAGAATAGATCCATATAAGGATAATATACATATTATTACAGTGCACAAAATAGTTTGTACAAGTTCTAATTGGAATTATTATGTTATTCTAACCATTAACTTATTTATTTTCTTCAATCACACTTAATTGAGATGGCAAGCAAGCACATAAATTATTCTTTCTAGTATTATGATTTATTTTCAAAAAGATTGAACAAAAAAAAGGAATGAAGTTATTTTTATATTTTGGAAAGTTTTTTCATATATTCACTTTCTTTTGGTGATCCTGTAAAACGTTTAAATAACAAATCTTTGTTGAAATAATTAACTAATCCTGGTCGTTCTTTCATCACTTGTTCAAGTTTCATTAATGCTTGACATTCTTCTTCATTTGGTATTAATTTCTGACAATAATCACGTGCTATTGTAAATGCTTCAAATACAAAATAATCAGCAATCGTTGCTTCTAATTGATCATAATAAAATGATGTTGAACTTTTTTTAAGTAAATTATTTAATGCTTTAAGATCACTTGGAATCTTTTTTGTTAAACGATAATTTTGATCATTTCGATCTTCAAAATTAACACCATTAAATATGCATATTAAGACATTTGATATTACATCAATATATGCACATGACACAACACCATTAATATAAATTTCTAAAAGATCTTTGTCATTAATGGATGAAGTTATTTTACCATATAAATCAAATTTTCGTGCTAAGAAATGTCCTAAAAAAATTGAATTATTAAGAGTAAACTTAGAATGTTTTTTGAACAAACCTATTGTTAAAGTTTGACCAAACGTATGTGTATCATTCCAATGAAGTACAGGTAAATTATGAAATGGACCAGAGATTGCTTCATCATTCTTATGTTGTAACCATGATTCATGTGCTTTTTCAAGTAATTCAAAATCTTCTTTATAATCAACATTTTTATATGTATATGCAATATCTTCAAGCATATAACGAACTGCTTGAATACGTCCACGACAATTCCAATAGTAAAGTCGAAATTTCATATAGTCTGATGGTGTTGTTGACATAGTGTCTATCACAAATATAAAACAAAGAATGTTAGTATTGAATAAGAACGCATGTTACTTCTTTTATGAATGTTGTTTTAAGAAAAATAAAAAGAGCACTGATAAAGAATGGCACGATATCTTTAACTCTATTCTGTGTAGCTATGTCATTTATAGGGTGCACCGACAGTTGAGCCCCCGACAGATGAGCCCCGACAGTTGAGCCCCGACAAATGAGCCCTCGACAGTTGAGCCTACCGACAGTTGAGCCTACCGACAGTTGAGCTTCCGACAAATGAGCTCCCGACATTTGAGCCTCACAAAATTGAAATTTCATCGATTAAATATAGAACACACGAAATTATTATTGAATCGCTAATTCACTTGAAAATAGTGCACGGAAACATGAGACATCTTTCGATAGTACTGATGGCTCGTCGATATATTTTTCGTGGCTAAGTCAATCATCTGTACAGAAATGAACAAGTTTTTCGAACAATATTTCTGTGACTCATAAAGGTTTTTGTGAAACACGATCTGAAAGGAGTGTTGAAGTGTATAGGGTAGACATTTTGCACCCCCCCCCTCCCTCTCCCCACAGACTGTGGCAGAGAAAATCCATACCCATCACAGACCGTCACAGAGAATTCAGGTACCCGTCACAGACCGTGACAGAGAATCCAGGTACGCGTCACAGACCGTGACAGAGAATCTAGATACCCATCACAGACCGTGACAGAGAATTGGGGTACCCGTCACAGACCGTGACAGAGAATCCAGTTACCCATCACAGACCGTGACAGAGAACCGGGGTACCCGTCGCAGACCGTGACACAGGAATTGTAGTTGTAAAGCATCAAATATACGGTCAGCTACAAATGTGTCGTAAGGAAATGGAACAAAAGGATTTTCATTTAATTAGTAACAGTAGGTCCATCGTGTTTCACATTTTTAATCCCGCAGGGGATTGTGCTAACAGCTTTATCATTCTTGGTTTATTTTTCTATTATCGTTAACAATGTCAATCGTGAAATCTTCAAAAAACAAGGATTAACTTTTACTTAGTGGTTATCGTTATCGTCGTGCAAATAAATCTCAAATTATTTGGCGTTGTTGTCGAAATGACTGTGCTGGTCGTGTACGTTTTGATGGAACAGGTTATATTAAAGTTACGGATCATCTTCATGTACCAAATCCTGAAGAAACAATATCAGTGGAATTCAAATCAAATATCAGTTCTGGTGCAACAATATCGCATAATCCATCACGACGTATTATTCATCAGGCTTTATTAAATTTTTTTTTAATATGAGGCTCAAGTGTCGGGAGCTCATTTGTCGGGAGCTCAACTGTCGGTAGGCTCAACTGTCGGTAGGCTCAACTGTCGAGGGCTCATTTGTCGGGGCTCAACTGTCGGGGCTCATCTGTCGGGAGCTCAACTGTCGGGTCACGCATTTATAGACGCATGAATTAGATAAAACTTTAACTAACTGATCATTTTTTTTTAATTGAAATAAATATTAATTGTTGCAATATTACACAAATATTCTTCATCCTAGACTGTGTTGTCGTCTGATTCGAATACTCATCAATGTGAAATTTGTATATGTTTATTTGTTTCTACATAAATCTGATCCTTGAATACCTTCCTTTCAAATTGTTACACTCTATTTTCCTTTTATTTATTACTGATCCTAGTAGATGTATTTATACAGTAAAAAGAAGTTTCATACACAAATAAACTCTTTCAATGTCGAACTGCTGAAATTTGACCGCTACAAGTTTAACAGTAAAATCAAATTTTGATGTCACCTGATTCGTTTTTTTTTGATATGATCTCGATTGTGAACCATGTAGAACATATATAATAGACAAGATTAGATTGCTTATCTTTATGCGAATGCTGTGCGAAGAGAGAAAGAAAAAGAATGGATTCGATATACTTTTGGAGAACTAATTAAATCATTGTAAGTTTCGTAAGAGACAGAGATCAAGTTTCGCGATTAACACTAGGCTAAACTCATGTTTTTCAAAAGCTATTTAATTCAAAATCCGAAAAATTTTATTGAAATAAATGTCACAGGCAAATTTGAGTTTCAGGCAAAATTGTTTTTTCTTGGCGCTTCTATCAAAGGGTGTGAGTGTGAGTGTGGGGTGTGGGTGGGTGTGGGCGTGGGTGTGGGTCGGGTGTGGGTGTGGGTGTGGGTGTGGGGTGTGGGTATGGGTGTGGGTGTGAGAGCTGTTGGTCTTATAGAGCACAAAATCAACACTTACCTACCCCCACACTCACACACATACCCACACCCACACCCACACTCCACCCCCGCCCCCACCCACCCACACTCACACCCCACACCCACGCCCATGCTCCACCCAAAAACGACCATTATTATATGTCTTTTATTATTGTGTTGCAAAACAAGATGAAAGGCTTAGGACAGTTGGACTATAGGAATATGTTTTGTACTTATGAAAAAGAATGATATTTGATATCATTTTGGAAATAAAATATCAAGACCCACTTCTTCAATGCTTTACTTCAGAGCTGGTTGTTGCCTTGATCCTAGATGAAAAGTAG